AACTCGCAATTGATAGGCTTGAACAGATAAAATGATCGTTTCAGAGAAAACAATGCCACGATTAAATATATATAAATGTCAACGTATTATTCGATTTCTTGGAATAAAAAAATTTTGTTTCCGAGTATTATACGATAAATAGTAATAAGATAATTGTAATTTTTTAAATTTTTCAATTGAATTTTTCTAAATAGACTTTTCCTTCTTTCAAATAATTTATTTTGTTAAAAAAGTTCTTTAAGACTGTCTATCGAAGTTGATTAGTTGGATCTGGAAAGAATAAATGCGATTTGTTTGCATAAAAAAAAAAGAGGCAATGAATCGTATCATTATTTTGCTTTCTTTACCAGTTTTCTTTAGTAAATATATAATTGGTCAATTTGAATAATTCGATCAATAAGTCAAATTGCTATTTATTGACATTATTATATTTAATCTTGTCTATTTAAAACCTCATTTAAAAAGCTAAGTAGAACGTATGTCTAACTAAATATGTATCTTACGTCAATGGTACAGCGATTCTATTTAATTTATAAGCTGCAAAGTATACGTAAAAAATTACTAATGAATATAGCAATATTAAGAAATTTCAACGAAAATTCTCGAGTACGTACGAAAAAGATTCTACTATATATTCTAAAAATTAATGGAAATTTATATTATATTAATTTACGTTATATTTCACTTTAACATACAAATTGCGAATATTTTTATTAATACGATCGTATTTACGATTTATTATTATACAAAAGAAAATATTATATATATAAAAAAAAAACTGGTTCTACATCATTAAATGGAATAACAACATGATTCATTTGAATCACACCCAAGATTTAAATTAAATTATTGATTTCAAAGAATTCTTTGTAATTTATCGAGAAATATGTATTTCGCAATTTGTCTCTATATCTGTCCAAAGCAAGAAAATTTTTAAAATAATAAAATAATTCGAATACGTATATTAATCACGAGTTCATTCGCGCTTTTTTTTTTTTTTTTTTGCTAAAGTAACGTTTTTCCACGTTATCAACGATGTAGTAAGATCGCTGCAAGTGCTCTAGTCTAGTCTTCGACGTCGTCAGAATCTATAGAAAGCCAATGACACATATTTCACATATTCCTTTACTCCGTTTCCGTGAATTTTCGTAATGAATTTTAAAAATGATTTATTGCACAAAATTTGTCGAGTCGATCTTCTTGATAACATCGCGAGTAATAAGGATGACGTTTGTGACGTTTCTGAGAACAAGCATTTTATGAATACGAGTCATTGTGACGCGAGCATATATCGAAAGTTCCGCTATTTTTTTTCGAAATTGGAAAATCCATGCTCGTCAGAAATGAAGACTTTTTTTTTTAATTTTTCCTTCTCTCTCTCTCTCTCTCTCTCTCTCTCGTTTTTGTCTCTTTTACATTTTTTATGAGTAGATAGGAACACGTGGAGAAACGAATGAATGTTCCCGCCTCTTTTCTTTGTTCGTCTTCTCTTTCGCTTGTTCAATTAACTCGGCATATCGCACAGTTGTATACTAATCTTAATGAACGCGTTTATCTATTCGTTTGCATATGTGCGTATATTATTCGATAAGTATCGTCAATGTATTTTCACATTTTTCTCGAGACCTGTTTTTGCTCTAGAAATAAACGAAATTCAACTTAAATATTCAAGAATCAATTTTGTTTTTCTGCGATATCGTAGCCGTATTACGAATTTTTCGAATGTTCCATTTGATAAAATTTGATGACATTTTGAAAAAAGTTCTTAATTTCAGATTACAAATACACGTAAAATATTATCTTTGAAAATGCATTTAAAAAAAGTATTAAATTTTAAGAAAGGAAGGAGAAAATCGTGACATTTAAAAAAATAATATATTTCATGAAATTTATTTAAAAGCTTGAAAAAAGTAAAAAAAAAAAAAAATATCTAAAATTACATTATTTCGTATTTTTATGGCACAATATTATCACTCTATTATTTTTCTTTTAATTCACTATCTATTTTTTCATTCGACTATTAAACTTCTCGGCCAATCGGACTTTTTTTTTTTTTTCTGCTTTTATTTCTTTACAATCGTCTTAACGAAAACATCCAAAGTAAATATGTTTACGTTTAATGTTACATCGTTCAAGATAAATGAGCAATATACTTCATATCGAGTGGCTACTCGATCCAGAACTTCTTTTTCGTATTATACATTATAGACAATGATATAGAGAATGAGAGAGAGAGAATAAAAAAAGAAACAAGAAAGAACGAAGAATCAGTATCTAACGATGAAAAGGTTAATCGAATTATTTCTACCGGTCTTCCATAATGTTTTATTCATTGACAATAAAAACTGGGCCATAGGTTAAGCTTGGTTTAATTTTATATTCAATAGTAAATTGCAAACGAGTATCGCCACGTGCGTGCATCATCCTGTGTCATGCATCGCCCACCACGAAATGCTGCCGATACATTGATATTTTCCTCCTTCGTTTCTTCATAGATGTCTGACGTAATGCAGATGAAAATATCTGCGCTAGTTCCGATAAATTGCGGTATTGTTGTCAAGTACGCAGTCTGATTATCGAGGGTGTTCAAGGTATTCGATCAGGATGGTGTCATTCGATCGACTTGACATGATTAATCGGTTGCCTACCCTGAATCATAATTTCCAATGAATTTCGAATTTCAATGAATCGTGTTATTTCTATTTTTCAATGGAAACAATTTTTCAGTGGAAATATAAAAGATTCGATGACGCAGAGAGTGAAACAGTTTGATATTTTGAATCATGAATGAGAATACAGACGAGATTTTTTATTATTTTCAGTTTCGAAATTTGTGAACATACAAAAATAATTATGATTCGTTTTTTATTTGTTTTATTTATCGTTTATTATTCGTTTTGTGCCGATAAATATTTAGGTATTGCGAGTCACAATTTTCATAGAATTTAGACGAAAAAAGTAGACTATTCTCATTTTAATAAGTATAAATTATTGGCAATATAAATTATATGTGGGATTTCTCGTTTATCCGATATAGCGAATCTTTAAATATCCAATAATAATTTTCAAAAGATTTTTTCTACGAAGAAGAGCGTTGTGTTTTTATCTTTACAGTAGATTATTATTAATAAAGATTATTAAATGGATGATAGCGGTTTATATCGGGATACAATAATAATTTCTTTGAACGAAATAAAATTAATTTGTAACATGTCACGTGTATTTTCAGGAAATCGTTCGAGTAATAATAACAAATCAATAAATGCACGCAGTTAGAACTAGGATAAGTAAAACAGAAATATCTCAAGTAGTTGAGCATGATTTATTGTCACAGATGTATATATTATAATTAGTATTTGTATACGTGACACGAATGTCTCGATGATTTCTTTGAAGAATTCGAAATGGCATCGCCTAATAGTAAAACAGAGTTACAAATTATTCATCAAATTGCCAATAACATCATTCCGATTGATTTATTGACTTCGGGACTCGTAAGAACCGACTTATTGATTTGTACGACGTTTTACGAGCGCAAAAATTCTCCTCGTAATCACGTATATAATTTAATCTCCAATATTTTTATTCATTAGTTCTCGACTTTCGATTATTCGCAATTTCAAATTCATCCAATTTCGATCGAATATTTTCTTTTCTCGCGTATTCTACAAGAGTTTCTACAAGAGTATCTTAAGTGTTCGGATGAACACGCATCCAATTATTCGTAACACGTAAATGATTCGATTATCTAAACGATATCGCAATTTGATGACGCACAAAGTGGAAGAAACTAGCGTCATCTTTGTTTTCGAGTTTGACCGTGCAAAGACAGGTGAATATCTAAAACAGTTGCTAATTGTAAGTAATCGTTCAGTCGCGAGTGACCTCAACATTCGACCAAATATCCTGACGCGTTTTCTCAACTTGGAAATCGATCATTGGCATCAATGAACAAGGTCCAAAAACATCGATATTATATCAACCCGTTCCAAGAAAAATTACGTTCTTGAAATTACGTTTCAAAGAATTTGTTTTTAACCGACCGTGTTTTATATATATATATATATATACATATACGTTCTTCGAACAAACTTAGTCAGAGTTTCACGTGGTTTCTCACGTGGAAGAATGCAATCGACCTAATTCTCGGTGGAGGATTCGATTAAGGAGAAGAAGAAAACGGCGCAGTTCATTCGCCCACGGGTTAAAAAGTCAAAGCGGCCGCGCTGCCCGTGGCTAAGAATAGCAGCGTGGTGATTATTGCTTCTCTTGTCACCTTCGACGACGTGTGCTCGTGCTTTCAGTTCGTCGTTGTAAACAAACGACACACCTACGACAAGTGACGGAGAAAGAAAGAGAGTTTGTGGCGTTTGCCGACGCCGATTTCTCTCCTCGATCTCTCCTATTTTGATTGGTGCCCCACCTGTCCAAACTTACCCGAGAGAATCCGTTTCTCTCTGTTTCTCTGTGAGAAAGAAGCGCGTTCCTAAGTTCGTTTAAATTTACTGTTGGTCGTTTAAAGTCGAATCACTCTCTATGTCGTGGCTATTTATACACGGACTGGTGCATTGTTAGCTGGACTGTAACCTAAGTCTTACTTCGTGAATCTTAATATATCCTATAGAGAACGTCCATTGAAATGCGGAACGTGCTAGTATTCTTCGCTGGTATTTTTCTCCTCCTTCGGTGGAGGAGTACTATTTTTCATGTTTCAGATGGATTTGTTGATCCAGAGTCTCTGAAATCGTTAATATAATGATTTAGAATCGATATAGTCATAGTTTAGATTGATTTTATATTTGTAATGTAGGAATTTTAACATGTTTGGGAGGATGTCAAATAAAATTCATTTAAATATTTATCGAAACCTGGTTTAGAATCCTCTTTATATTTCTAATAATAATCGTTTCATTCGATAAATTGCGATAATTTTTCCTTATGTAAAATAATTTAAATTCATAAAATTTGTAAATAACGACAGAATATTCGTTTTCTTATAGGAGGAGAAAATCAGGATGTTGAGGTTTGGATCCATACTGAGCGTGTTGGTCTTTCTGACCATCGCGAAAATCGTGATCTCAAATCGATGTCTGACCATGCTCGAAGGTAAATTACTGCTCCAACGCAACGTCTGATCTTATACGAACTTTTTCTCCTTGGTCAATTAAAGCAAGAGCCAATTTGTAATCGTTTTAAAAAATTAATCGAAGAATTAATATTTTGACAGATGTGAATCCAAAGAGGGTAATCCAATTGGACGGGCAACCATTGAACATAAATTTCGAGGTGTCACGTAGAGTGACTCAGAGGCTGGCTACTATAATCATGAAAATATTCTTGACAGAGGTGCTCGGTTATTCGAAAGTGTTTATCTATGAAGTGGAGGATGCGTTCAACGTGGAGAAAACTTTCAGTAGATTGTCCGACGACATAATGTTTAACAATAACGGAAAGTAAGATGCAAACTATTTTACGTTCTCGATACTCTTTATCGAGTTCTTACGAATTAAAATTTATTTAAAATTAAGCCTCATAAAAGAGAACTTTAAATTTTAAAATAAATTCCTAAAGATATTGTAAATAATATTTTTACCGAAATAATATTTTTACTCTTTAATTAGATCGTTTTATAATAGTATTTATATCAAATAATCTTTCGAACAGACTTCCAATGGTGAATATGGAGGTGTGGATCCCGCCACAGCTAGACACTATGCCACTGTTAAATTCGCATGACGCGAAAGAATGCGGATCCATCGCTCCTCCGGGCCATTTCGGTTGGTTCGTTCCGATTGCGTTATCCAGGCGCGACGACAGTTGGATAATCTTCACGGAGCTTGAAAAAGCTTCCCGCTTCGAAATGGACGAATCCACGTTGGAGAACATTCGGAATTTTACCATAGACCCGAAAACCAAAACCTATTACTGCCAGGAATCGTATTGCCAACAGGGAATGTACATTCCGGAATGGTGCCAAGGGAAACCGTGCGCTTTATTGTTGACCAGTTACATCGATGTTACCAATTTTGTCAAGGATCACATAGATCAAATGAAACTGTACGTGAAAGTAATCTGGTTCGGATCGAATTTGAAACACGTGATCAAACTTGCCGAGAAGCTGATGTTTGATCGAAATTCGTCTACTTCGACCGATAGGTATTATATACATATATATACGTTTTTTGATTCTTAAATCGTCTTATAATCGTTGCTTCTGGTTTTAATTCTTTTTTATGGATTTACGATATGGATATTAACATCATCGAAGAGTTCATTTAAAAAACGATTCTTGTCAATTTTCTTGTCTTCTTCCAGAGCAGCAGAAAAACATTTATATCCGTTTATTATATCTTTAATTATATTTAATTACATTTCAGAAGAATTATATTTAATTGAACAAGAGTCTTTTTTTATGAATGCTTCGATTCCTCCTCGATGCGTAAATATTCGTGTTTTTTTAACTATCGAAAAACGTATCAATAGAAATCGATTTACGAAGGCGTGGAACAAAAGAGCAGGAAAAAATTCGCATTGCCCGAGGTCCGTGTTATTAGCTCGTTGTATTAGCTCGTGTCGCGCAATAAACGTCTCCTCGAAATAGAATTCACTGCAAAAACAAATTTCGTACGAACGAACATTTTACCGGTCGAACGGTTTCTTTTTCTTTTTTTATTACTCACCATCCATTCCAGACTAGCCTGTTTTTCTCGCGCCGTCTCGAAAAACATTCGTCGCCTTTTTATATCTTATTATTGCGCGCGAAAACAAATTTGCGTTCTCAATTCTCCTCAGATCGTTGGTATTTCTGCATTGGACTCCCAGCACCGTGATACCGAACGAGAGGGAATTCGTCAGCATCGATTTCCCCCGATGCAGCGCCACGAGCTCGGACATCGGTTGCAAATACGAATCCAATAGATTGACCAAACTTGTCTGGGCTAAGCTCGAATACGCCGCCAAGTTAGCCTACGAAGCGATTAATCACGCGAAATTCACCCGCGAGATGTACGAGGATCTAATCAACCGGCGCAACAACGATTTATCCAGAAACGAGGAAGAAATCGCGTGCGACTGGTTGAGAGAGAATCTCAACTACACTCTCGATTTATGGATGCCGAATACCATCGACAAGAACATTCTTTTCGTGGGTGGGATATTTCCTATGAGCGAGACGTTTTATTCGGGGAAAGCGATACTGATCGCGGCCATGATGGCAAAGGAGGCGATCAACGTGAACAATACCATCCTCAGAGATTACAATTTCACCCTGTTGGTGAATGACGGCCAATGTAAATCGGATATGGTGATGAGATCGTTCATCGATTACATAGTGCACAATCAATACGAGAAGCTCGTCGGCGTTTTGGGACCAGCTTGTTCCGAGACCGTGGAGCCTTTGGTCGGTGTTTCGAAGCATTATAAGACAGTGGTCATTAGTTACAGCGCCGAAGGATCCAGCTTTAACGATCGCACTAAATATCCTTACTTCTTTCGGACTATTGGTGAGAACAAGCAGTACAAACACGTTTATTTGCAATTGTTGAAGAAACTGGGATGGAAGAGGGTGGCTTCGTTGACGGAGGATGGACAGAAATACACCGAGTACATATCTTACATGCAAGATTTCTTCAGAGACAATGGAATCGTGTTCGTGGCGAATGCAAAGTTTCCAAGGGAACGGGAACCCATTGTGATGACTAAGGTGATGATCCTTCTTGGATGCTAAATGTTTTCTTTGCTTTGTAAATAGTCCAAGAGAAGAGTCCAAGAGATCGTTGAACAGACTTCAAATTGACCAGTTATTCTCAACGCAATGACGTAAAATAATTTTCGAGAATATTTTTTTTTTTT